CATAGGCAGAAAATAGAAGCTTTTGATGAAGTGGAACGTTGACGTTTGAAATGCTATGCTGTGAATGACTCCACCATCTATTCGATGCGGAAACAAGAAAAGCTACCTCGTGACACTCACAGCAAGTGCTCAAACCTGTACAAAAATTACCCAATGAGTCAGAAGATATGCTTTAATGATATTTGAGAATTTGGTTAACTTGTGATATGAGGTGACACATGACTGTGGGCAGAAATGTGATTCTGGAGAAAGACAGGATCCTGTTCAAACATTTTTCATGAAGGAACAGATGGCAAAGGCACTGAATTGACCTTTATTATGAGGGAAGTTTTTTGTTTTTTTTCCGTTGTTGAAAATTTTGAAAAATGTTTTTCTGGGCATAATAAAAATTTAATGGAAGAGGTGATATCAGCAGACCCATTATGCCATGGGTTGTCCATTTTAAGCTGAAGAAATAAATATACAGAGGAGATTTATAAGTTTGTACAAGTTTTTAATTCAGATGGAAATTATCTTTGGGAGGATAATGTTTTCATGAACATAACTATTCCAGAAGGAGGAAGGACCAGCATTTAATGTCAACGAAGACAGACTAACTCTGTTTATGCCTTCAGCATGACTTTATTGACTGCTGTGAACCAGTGTCCTGATGGAACTTAAATGCAAATGGAGGAGGCAGAGAAAGCAAATAGTTTTTTTGAAAAACAAACAAACAAAATAAACAAAGCAGGAAAAGACACATCAATTAAATAATTACAGTTTGTAGTAAGTACATGAAGGAAACAAATAAGGGGCCAGAGAGAGACAACGGAGAGGTTCCTATGTTGAAGCAACATGGCGGATTTTACGACTGGCAGTGTGTTAAAGGGCCAGACTAATGACTTCTTGTCCATATGATGGACAAGCTGGAGCCTTAGTGAATGGAGCATCTGCTGGGCCCTCTTGAGGGTGTAGTGGTAGAGGGATTGTGTGTGTGCAAGTTGCAATGATAAGTTAACTCCAGCATTTCTGTTTCCTTTCGCCTTTGGGTACCTGACTCTACATTATGCCATGGGAAGTTGTGGCCTCCCAGTCTTATTAAATGTGGGCTATCATGGAGTCCAAGTTTCAATCCACCAACCAAGTTAACTCTTAGAGCCCCTTCTAGCTGTATAAGCTGACCATTAAATCCTAAATCTCTAGTAAGTGACTCATGAAGAATACTGTCCCAACTGGTGTTATACTTTGTTTCACTTATCCTAATACTCTTAGAATCTATTCTCACACAGACTTTTCCAGATTTCTACCAATATAAATTAGCAAAATGTTACAATTATTTTGTACATAGGTTGTTACTTCCTGGATCAGACTTTGTTCTTGTTCCCCAGAGAATGCCAGTATCCAGCCCTGTTATGGGTGGTGGTTAGGGATGGTCCAGCGAGGTCTGGAAAAAAAGAATTCCTTTGCAAGAATATTACCCTTATATTAAAGGTTATTAAAGGATTTTCAAGCCAGGGAAAGCTTACCTCTTCATACAGAGGAGAGCAGGCTGTTTCTATTTCCACTGGCGAGGGAGGCCCAGAGTAGCATGGGGTCTCAAGAATCTTAGCTTCAGCAGAGTCCACCCAGATATCCCCATCCCTAGTTTCAGGGTCTCACTCTTTCTCACTCAGTTTTCCTTTCATCCATGAAACGTGGTGAGTCTGTGAAATTCAACTTACATTGTAACTCTGCGACTGGCACAGTTAAATCTGATGTTAGCTGGGCGAGCTCTGTGGCTAGAAGACATCAAAATTTTTATTGGGGTTGCCATATAAGGTCCTGATAAATGTGAGATTGAGAGCTTAAAGACCTGAGCTTATCATTTCCTTTCAGTAAGAGCTCCAGTGCATTCAGAAGAAGCTACATACCACAGTGCTTTTTTTTTTTAAATTGAAGTATAGTTGATGTATAATATTATGTAAGTTACAGGTATACAATATTGTGACTTAAAATTTTTGAAGGTTATACTCCATTCATAGTTACTATAAAATATTGGCTATACTTCCTGTATTGTGAAATATATCCTTGTAGCTTATTTTATACATAATATTTTGTACCTCTTAATCCCCTAACCCAGTATTGCCCCTGCCCCCTTCCATCTCCCCACTGGTTACCTCTAGTATATTCTCTATATCTGTGAGTCTGCTTCTTTTTTGCTATATTCACTAGTTTATTGTATTTTTAGATTCCACATATAACTGGTACACATTATTTGTTGTTCTCTATCTGTCTTATTTCACTTAGCATAGTACCTTCCAAATCCATGCATGTTGTTGCAAATGGCAAAATTTTTTTTCATGGCTGAGTAGCATTCCACTGTATATATATATACCTCATCTTCATCTGTTGATGGATACTTCGGTTGCTTTCGTATCCTGGCTACTGTAAATAATGCTGCTATGAACACTGGGGTGCATGTATCTTTTTGAATTAATATTTTTGTTTTTTTGGATATATACCCAGGAGTGGAATTGCTGGGTCATATGGTAGCTCTAGTTTTAGTTTTTTGAGAACCCTCTGTACTGTTTTCCGCAGTGGCTGTACCAATATACATTCTCACCAACAGTGTAGGAGGATTGGAGGAAAGGTCCCTTTTCTCCACATTCTCACCAACATTTGTTTGTTTGTTTGTTTTTATGATAACCATTCTGACAGGTGTGAGGTGCCATCTCATTGTGGTTTTGATTTGCATTTCCAGTCTTTGTATTCATCATTTCTTCCAAACTCAAATGTAGCAGCTGCTTGGTCCCTTAAGACACTTCTTCAGTTGATACTTTGCTGTAATACCAACCATCATTAATTTGATTAATGGTGATGCCACTGCATCCAATCAAACCAATATAGGAAGTCTTCTGAGGTCTATATTTTCGGCTTCCATTCCTGATACCAATTTCTGTATCAGTCAGAGTTCAGTTGGGAAACAGAAGTCAAGCAAGTTAATTTAACTAGGCTAACTTGTCTCTCCTAGTCCAGCTCTTAACCTCACTCGGGTAGGTTAAACTCATCCATCTTTTTTCCCTATCTCATTGAAACAAGAAAAAGGGG